GACAGTAATGGAATCCGGCCTGCATTCAGTTACAGGACTGGGAGTGCGTTCTGTCCAGCATGGTACCTGGAACCAGTCAAGGAACCAGTCAAGAAACCTCCCAAGGAGACCGGCAGCATCGCATGCTCTGCTCTCCACGGTTATTCGCTCTGATTGGCCAGTTGGATGCGATGGATATTTCATGAGAGTTTCAATACTAGAGGAAGCCATAGTATGAATATTACTTTAAAAGTCTGACGGGTTTGGCAAATTCGGATATCAGGAACCCCATGCACTTGAATTGAGCACTACTTGTACGGGGAGGACGGCCGTTACAGGTCGGGACGTTCATGTAATGCCGCATGGGTGCATAATGGAGTGCCTGCAACAACAGGGGTCACGGGTTCGGTCGATGGGGGATGAAATGATGGTTAATTACCTGTATTACCTGCGTCTGCAGCTCACTGTGCGTGAGAGCCTAGTTGAGAAGTAAGGGCAGTCCTCCAGAACGCACTTGCCGCGTTCACCCGCCTCCGTGGCCAGGCCTAGAGCTCTCCGTGCCAAGGATCCCCAGCTTATCTTTGAACTGGAACCAACCCCTGAGGCATGGTCGCGGCGCAGCAAGCTACTGACGTACGTAGTTGCATTTGTAGTGGTTGCAATTTTGGACATTAGCGTTGGCACAGTCACATCACCACCACACTGAAGAATATGTGGCAACTACGGGGTCTTGATCCTCGACGCAAAAAGTAGCAGTGGATCTTGCAGGGTTCATACTGTTGCGACATTCGGATCCGATTTGTTTGGCGTGTAGGCGGAACGAATACCTTGTCAAAATGTAGACTTCAAGAGTGGGTCCTTGCCTCCACAGGATAAGCTGAAGGTTCTTTTTTCGGATCGAAATGCAGGCTGGGAAAAGCCCACTCTCTGCTGCCGGAGCGACATGCTATGCAATAAGAGAAAAAGTAAAGAAAATTCGAGGATCTCACTTTGGGATAACTACGGCTTGTGACTTAGCAATGACAAATACTTAGAGACCTGTCCCCATGGGATATATTCGGTCCCTTTGCCAGTATTGCAGATGCATATCACCAGGTTGATCTTCTTTCCAAGTCGAACAACCTTCATATCAATAAACGGACGGTGATTTCATTCCTCAAAATGTCTCCATCTCCTGATATTTTTCTCCTTTTCCCTATATTCTCTACTGTTTTAGCTATCGCAGATGTTGTTATAATCCCAAAATCGCGTCAGAAATCCGAAAACACATCCAATTCACCACTTCCCGTTGTAAGCCGCGAACCACGGTCGTGTTGTGAAGAGGATGAAGAACTTGAGCTGGAGTTTCTTCAGTGCGGTCTGTGGATTATATACACTCTCCACGCATTATGCCTGGTGCTTCCTGCGCTGCTATTCGTCGTCTTTTTGCTACGCTTTGGAACCGAAACATGGCTGTCATACATGCCAATTTGCGGCACATACTCGAACGGTTTGTCATCTGTAAGTGATTATCCGGTGTCGAGGCGGACTATTCCCTGAGCTTACCAAGACAGTTTCTGCTTGTGCTCCGTACCCTTCGTTGGCGGTATTGTAGAGAGGAATCGAAATTTGTAAAGGATATACTCACACTGTTGGCCGCAACTGTCGCCGTTGTTCTTCTGATGCTGGTACCAGGGACTGGATGCATGCTGTACCTTAGTCTCCAGCACACCGGGCTCCTCTCGGCCGCTTTGTTGTCATTCCTGACCCTCTTTTTGGTTGGAGTTGGTTTCCAGCTCTACGCACGAAGAGCTCAAGATCTGCAGCCCGCAATCCAGCTTTTCTTCTTTGCGTTGGTATTTCTAATCCTCGACGCTATCTTGCCACTCAAAGTTTTGAAGTCAGATGGTCAAAGAAACGCGGTAAGTGCAACAGACACAGAGCAACAGACTGACATCATTAACATCATGCCAGGTAGCATGGGTTCTGTCGTTTATCCCGCCGTTCTGTGCAGTGGCCAAGTATGTCTATCGACTTGTCAAACTACTTGGAAAAGAGAGTGATAAGAATTCATCTAACGACTACGAAACCGATGCACCCCGCCACGCCGTTTTGACCAATGCGAATAAAGAAGGCTCCACAACGCCAAGCTGTATGAAAACTACTGCGCCTGCAATTGAGACGGAAGATAAGAGCATTAGTGGCCAGACTAATGTTCCATGTCACACTTTCATTTTTGCAGATACAAGCAGTGCTTACCCACGTCAAGCCATGGAGTTGGTTAGCGGCTCCAAGCTCTCAATTCAAAGCACCAGGGAAATGGAACCCTTTGAGCTGGTATAAGCTAGCTGGCCTGCGACGCCTGAGGCATTTAGTAAGTGAGTCAACAAATTGTCAAGAAACAAATTGGGTCTCGTTCGATAGAAGAGTGTGCCCTTACCCACTAGGCGTGGCATAGGCATGAAAAGATCTGGGTGTAGACTCACGGAATGCCCCGGCATACAAAAAGTTCCGTATCCTGATGCATGGGTGTCTATGTAACTATGTTGCCTCCTTTCGTCGGGTTTCCCTTTTACTTCATCAAACTCATAAAGTAGTTGGACATAACGAAGTTTGCCTTTCGACAACGCAAGGCCATATTTGTGAAAATATAATGCCATGTCAGGAGACCACCGAAACACTGTTTTCTCTCCCAAGTTCGGCGCCTGGAGCTCCATAGTCTGAGTCTGGTCAAACAGCGGAAGCAGAACATTTATATATCCCTCAGTCGGCCATAGGACTGCCTCCGAATCAAGCCGCGATAGGTATTGACACCAAGGTTCTCCATATCGGAGTGTCAACCTTTGAATGCTCAAACAGTCATTCAACGGCACAACCTGTGCTTGGTAAGTTACGTATCAACTAGAGCGTGACGGGTGTCACTGTACCAAGTTGTCGTTGCAAGACATTGAATAGGCCACGCATTCGTCGGTGAATCTGAATGTGAAAAGAACCGCCGGCTACGTATCAGCATTAGCCACTGCTTTTCAAGGCTTGAGGGGTCACGATTCGTACACCCGTCCGGCCGGAGGAGTCGCCTTTGCTATCACAACCCACAGAGACTGCTTCTTTCAAGGTAAGCGCTGACGCTGCAGCCTCCTGCCTCAGTACTTTGACTTCATCCAAATGTATCAACTGGTACGCGGGCTCACGACGTAGGTGCCGACCGCTGTGGCCCAGGAAGTAAAGGATGACTACCCGACTGCGATGGCTTATCAGATGATCCGTCTGCAGAATGACGTAGGGCTAGTTGAAAATGATGTGCCTTACCTTAGGCGGTACCCGAGAGTGGCCTCCACAATCCTACTTGCTGAGGCTGCGTCAGAATCCCAGCGTTTAACTTTATCATTTTCCGGGAGCTTGAGCCCCTGGCCTAGCTCAAAGAGGACCCCCTCTTGTGCGTCGTGAAGTCTGTATTCCCTGCCAAGAGTGCGCAACGACCTCCCTGCGTCATCTTAGCACATGATCTAGAAGAGGTGTGAGGAACGTACAATGATAGGGAAGTTCAAGAACTCGAGGCCCAACGAAGGATGCAAGGATACAGAGTAGCGGTTCAGTGCCATGCGCTACAGAATCAATAAGGCTGTTGGCCTCAGGCCGATCAAATTTTGCTGACTTCCCGGTCAATTCCCAGAATACCTTTAATCCCCGGTAGATTGTGCGCTCAAACAGGTCATATTGGTCCGACGGTTTCCAACCATACCGTATTTTATACGATTCCTTTAGGACTCGGAGGACTGCCAGAAAATAATACCTGATAAGATTGATGAGCTCTTCTTTTTTCTCCAGCATAATATTTATTGCATGGTTCTGGTATGCCTTAATGATCTCGCTGGCTTCCGTTACGCTATCCAGCAGTTCGAGGTTCTTAGGCAGTTCAGGAGAAACCCGTCGGAGGATAGTCTGTAAGTCCTCCAGTGACGGGATATTCTCGCTCCACTCGAACCAGTTGCATTTTTGTATGAGAACACTTGCTTTCTCCCTGAACAGTCTCTCTCGGTTTTTCGCCATGCCAAGGTGTAGGTGTCGCGGCTAAAGAGTTGTCAAACAAGCATCCGTCTGCACGTCCCAACTGAACGCGGGCACATCTTGGCACCTATCTGCTCACCGCCTAGACCTTTGTGCCCAAGTGGCTGTCAGCCACAGGTGGCTGGGGTTCAACGTCAAACCACGCTAAAAGTATTGATTTGTGGCTCCACAGTGTTGAAATTGGAAATCACACGATCCCAAACGACTGGCCATGGTTATGCCGCCACAATCAATCTTCACGATGTATGATTGACGAGCCACGGTGTGAAGATCAAGTCTCTCATTCAAGGCAACAGAAATTGTTATGCACCTACCTGGCAGGCAGCAGTATTACAACAAAGTATTTACGATTTCACTCTTTATGTAGGAAATCAAGAGTCTCCCATTTTGTCTAAGCTGTACCAAACGATCGTGTTGCGTGACACACAGCACGCTGATATATGGCCTCTGAAGCGGCCCAATCTGCACACAAAACTTACATGACTGAAATGAATGGTGATCTATGGCTACTTACGGCGTTTGTATGACTCTGTGGCCTTGGGGTGCCTGTGACAAGCTTAACAAACAGACATGAAGTATTGGGAAGAGGCACTGGTGTTATCTGACAGCTAAATGCGATTTGACTATTTCTGATGGATGCTCTGCTGTACTACCCATGGTTCCTTCATTCGTCTCTCCCACTGCCGCCCTTACCTTTACCAGTAATTTCACTCTTGTCGCTCTTCATACAATTGTATTGGACTTCTTCACCATCTTGACCAGGGTGGCGATCAACTCAA